CAAATAATAGTTATCCCATTTTTGATTTCTACAACTTCTGTACTCTATTTTTTACCTTTTAAGGTCTTCCAAATATCCCTAATGGAAATTACTAAGTCATAAATACGCGAAAACTCAAGATAATAATTGCGACTTAGTTGTTTTCTTCTAAATAAGTTATCCAAATCAAAAAGTTTCCCTAAAACTCATTGCCAGCATTAACGCAGAAGTTGTGCAGAATGATTTAAAAATTAATGTTTAAATGGTTTTGTATCTACAGTCGGTTGTTCTAAGTGAAATTTCCTCAAAATCTATTTGCATGGTTTTCCATAATTGGGTGTTTTATCTCAAAAATCACCTACACAAAGTTACAATTTCCTTTCACCGCAAAACTTGCCTCCATTTCTATTTGACTGTTTGATCGGACTTTGCGGAATCTGAAATGTAGGCTACACAAACAAGTTTGTAGTAATCCGAGGGGCATTTCTTTTATATTTTGTGCTAAACCGAGTTTTTGCAAGATCAACTTGTTTTTCTTTCCTTTCCTGTTTATTTTCTTATTTTCACACGTCAGCTGCAGATGGCTAACGAATTCACCACTGAAAACGAGCTTTAGTGGATTCTGATGTTATTTCTTTCTTCCAGTTTTTATAGATATTGATATTTTTGCCCGGCATTTTGCTTGTTGTTTAGTGTTTTTTTTTCAAGACGATAAGTAAAAAAACATAACCAGGCAAATTCTATCCTTATAGAGTTTTGTTCCATAAACCTAGTCGACCCTGAAAATATTGTCTGTTCTAAGGGGACTTAGGATAATAAATTATAATTTATAATCCCATGAAAATACATGATCCTCGTGCATTAAAAGAAATTTGGTTATTTGATAAAGCTCAAAGTTGCGTTACTTTGTGACCAAACAGCTGCCTATTATGAACTTAACAAAAAGCAAAATGGAAAAAAGTGACTCCCAATAGCAAATAATGTGTGTAGCGATTGGGAATGAGATAACAAAAAAATACTTTAACAACTCTAAAAGCATATAAATAGAAGTTTTTTCTAATAGCGATGTGGCATTAATACAAAAGCGAATTAAGGTAACATACGTAATGCTTTCCATAGAAAATAGAAATTTATTTTTATTGCACATACAAAAGCCACTGACTTGGCTGCAACCCTAGATTGATTTTTCTGGGGTTTATTGTTGAATTTTCGTCTTGCTAGACTTTCAGGTGAATAGAGCCAGATGTTCCCCACAGCAGCTGAAACAATGAGTCGCAATATTGAACTAAAAATGTCTGGAAAATGTGCTCAAAAATGCAATTTAAAAATTATTTTTCGTTGTAAGAGTATTAGTTTCTCATATTATGAAACTCCCTTTACAATTTTATGATTCCTGGTCACCGCAAGTCAAACATAAAAAGCGATTTACCTAAAATACAGTTATTAAATAATAAATTAATGTAGCGGAACTGTAACTAAGTAGCGAAATTTTTAATAATTTTGATGAAAATCCCCAATTTCTTTGCGGATATTATTGCAATACGTTTTCGTAAAAGTAAAAACAGTGCCATTACTGAAAGCCGGCTTGTTTAATTATGATTATTATTCGTTAGATTTGACGTTTACGCAATCGTAAAACTTGCAATTAAACTCGAATTATAACAATATGAAGCAAATGGATGAGAATTATGCACAATATTAATAAATATCTATCTAATATGTATGATTGCATACAACAAGTTAATCATAAATTAGGCTTGTAATTGATATTGCGCCGAGTTTAATAATTTCAACTTAATAGGGAATAATGGTGGGTTTCAAACATATTTTTAAACGTTGGATTGGATTATTCATGTACAGAGTGTTCGTGAAAATGTGGGAAGACTGGGTGCCAAAATTACACTACTTACACTAAAAAAACTAAAAAAGACACTTCAACTGTGATGATATCAACGTTTTTTTGCACCCTATACATATGACACCTTGTAGATGAAATTTTTTTGTTGAAAAATTTCCACAATTTATTCAATGACCATATTGGGTTGATTTATTAGATTGGCACGTGTTTGTAATGAGCTTTTGATGGTAAATTTTTAACTAGATTTGAAATATATTTATGCTTTAGTCGGGAAAAGTGAAAATCCACATGTAATTAATTTTGATGAATATTTGTTTATGGGCTGCTTTTTTTCGTTTAGTTTAGTGAGCATTAGGGCATTTTTTGGCAACCATTTGAACACAATATTGACAAAGTTGCTTAAATTAGGACTTACTAAGACATTCTCAAGCAAAATTTTAATATACAGAAAATACATTTCTGCTTAATTACAACGTGTGGTTTAATAATGATTGAGCGAATATTTTGATGGCAATTAGCTCAATTAACTCTCGTGCTTTGACCGAAAATTATACCCAGACACATAATACTTTGACCCTCGATTAATATGTGGTCGATGCTCGGATTATTCCAGGTAATTCCTTCTGATCACTGCCGGGGAAATCAGACTTGACAATACCAGAATTTACTTTTAGATTTATATTAAAATTGATAGTGTTTGTGGATCTGCTACATTCGGGCAAATAGAGAAATATGTGCTTTCGGATCAATCGAACAACACTGTTTAAGCAACTGGCAAATATTATATAAATAATCATACAAAGAGTGCTGCTTTGGATTCATGGAAACGGTTTCAATGGAAGATCTGATAAATTGATATATGGTTTGCCAGCTTTTAATTAAAAGCACGCAATTTAGTGATGAAATTACGACAAAGTTTGAAAATGGTCGGCAGATTTTAATCATTCATACGGTCCGGTCGCAATATCTGTTTCTCAGTTATTAGTTTGCTTTTTGTGGTCGAGTCCCTTTATTTATCAACACGGAGATTATTTCAACATTAATTTATGATTTGTGCATTTTTAGGACAAAACAATGACCATAAAAGCAAATTTTTACAAAAAGACGCGATTTCCAATCGATTCACGTCCAAAGGGTCTTAAACAAACTGATGAAGAATCAATATACCTTACTCTGGAAATCATAGCAACAAATTACGAAAAAAATATATAAAAATTGGAAACTAAAAAAAGCATAATCTAGTAGTTTTTGTTTCGAGCCCTTCAGGACGACCCGGATTTAGTGGGAAAATTTGAACAAAGTGGCATAAACATAAGAAGACTTATTGAAGTGTTTGGCTTTGCGGTCATTGCTAGCAATTGGGAAGCTTTTCGCAATTTAAGTCGTGCTTAGCTAACCACCTCTGAAGATGCCAGCCACTCGTGCTTGCGAAATGTCAGGAAAAAAATGTTTGCGAGAGCCCAGAAGCGCGAAATAATTGTGTTTTTGAGTTGAGATGCGCGTAATTTGTTTGGCATTAGGTTATTAAAAGGCAGAAAATAGAACAACAAAAATTTATCAAAAATATTTTTCATCTACAAGGGTGGTTTGAAAATTCCGTGCAAAAATTAAAACTGCAAATTTTTTTTTTAATTTTTTTTCTGAGAAACAACACTTTTGAAGTCATCGTGCTTTTTATATCAGTGTTCCAGCGAAGCAGATTCGTTTATTGCAGAACTAAAAAAAATTCCCAAATCACTTGAGCAACGCTTGGTTTAATAAAGTGTAGTAAGTTTTAGGAAGCTGCAGAAACATTTTTTTTTTAATCAATTCAAAAGCGTTAAGTGTTGTTTATTTATATGGCAATTATGAGCGTATGAATATTATTAATTATAAATAAAATTAATCAAATCCGTTTAGAGCTCCTCAAAAGGCATCTTGCATATTTTTTACTTTAGTCACGGCCACTAAATGCCACCAGCCCATCGACAATGCAGACTTTCATATGAATAACTTAACTTTTACAAAGGATATTTTTTTAAATGGCTGTTATAATTTTTTTCGCATTTTTCTTAGTCATTGTAGTTTCTCGCCGCAGCTGCCAAAAATAGAGACATATGAAGATGACTCTTAAATTTGCATAGGTTAATCATCATAACAAAAACAGCAACCAAACAGGTAGATTGCCGGCATAAAAGAAGAGTTAATGACATTGGCTCACCTTGGTTTTGAATAGTTGGCCACTAATTACTGTATAAACGACGATTTGCGCATTATGTAGGTGCAAAAATCTTCAAGCCGGTAAATGTTGAATAACGGAAGCATACTAGTGAAAATCATCGAAGAACCACCGGTTGGAAGGCCAATTTTACAGCAAAGAGTTTTCTTGAATATTCTGAGAATCTTTATGAAACATATACCGAAATTTTGGTTTTGCTTCAATATGCATTTGGGTTACAAATATAAAAAATTAAAAAACGCAAACTTTTTTATATATTTTAGTTGATTTAGTTTAATTTTAATTAAGGGCTTTTTGGGATACCTTAGGAATTACAGTCACAGACAGAAAAACGCGAATTAATTATTATGCACTAATTTTATTTTGGTTAAATGGCAAAAGATTGGAAGCGAACAAAGATAGAGCTTTTCTTTCGTTTTATTCCCTTTTCCACATTTTATTTGATGGGATTAAAAAAAACGATCGAATTTGAACAGATTTTTGCTCAAATTGTATGCGGTTCTCGATTCGGCCTGCACACTTTAAAGTGTTGAAGTTGAGCTGTTTATTCGCCCTTCCATTGGGTTGCAAAGATATTTTATTACAACGTGTCGCTTGGTATCTTCAAACGTTTTCAGGCGAACGCTTATGGGGAAATAGAAGTCAGAATAAACCGTTCAAGTTCAACAGTGTCAAAGAGGAAAAAACTTTTTAGTCACTTAAACAAATGTACATAAAATGGGGCTGAAAATAATCAGTTTTTGGTGATTGTGCCATCACTTGATCGGAAATATGTTTAATGTGGATCAATTCCAGTAGTTTAAAGCTTCCATTCTTAAAACCCAGTAATTTAAGGAAAACGTGCAATGCTTATTATGCGAAGAAAGTATAAAAACTATAAGAAGCAATCGGTTTTACATGTAGGTACTTTATGATTGGTTTTCCTCAAGTTTCAATGATGCGTTTTTGGAAATTTATATATGAAAGTACAAAATTCTGTTTCAGACGAGCATTTTGCAATATTTAGGCTTTATTGTCCGTTTCTGGTCTAACTTATCAAAATTTTATCAAAAAGATTGCCGCGTTATTTTGAATTAATCCTGAAACAAATTTTGGAAACGCTTGGCAATTTCTTACAGAATAAACTACCGTAAAAAACTAGTAAACATTTCATTGGCCAGAAATCTGGTCAACATTTCGAAAATAACTTGCGAACTTAATTCCGATTAAAAACAGACAAAACATAAATCCAATTAAGAAATCATTTACATATGCGACGAACTTTTGACCCAAATGTTTCATTCTTAACGATTTCCTCCAACCAAACTTGCCTCGATGTTTCGTGTATTCAGTTCAAAATTGAAGATTATCTTCAACGGATCCTGCAAAACAGTATTTAGAGTGTTAGTGGTACAACGGCCAGTTCAGTCAAATGCAATGAAGAGTGTACAAGAATATTTCCATATAACGGTGTCGCATCTTTTGCTTTTCACTACGGTGCTTCAGATTTGTAATGCAGGTCAGTAAGTTATGAAAAATATAAATTTACTTTAAATAAACCGCGAGAAATTCTTAGAAAAAATGTTTTCTACTGTTTGTTGGTTGTTGTGAAACAGTTTGCGTCCTAAATGCTCAAATATTTTGGAAGCAAAATTTGGTTTCTTCTCAGTCAGTAACTGCAATTTTTGTTTCAGTTCTGGAAACATGCGACCAATCCGGTATTCTCCTCTACGAAGACATGGGATGCAAACCATCATATGATAGGGCTGCTTCAAATAGTCGCAATTCCTGCCCCTCAAAGTATGACTGCTTAGGCTTGAAAAAATCCTCAGATCATTGTTTCCTCCGAGGCAAAGCCTACATGCTTAAGCAAAGAGTGGATTCAAAACTAACTGCTGGATTGTGCGATTTAGGCTGTTCGTGCCAAAGAGAGGAAGATAAGTACGTAATTTCCTCATTTAGTCCATTTTAAATAAAAGTGCAGTTTCAAGGCGGCAATTATTCTTCATATAAATGTTGGTTTGCGTCAACGGCTATATCGGTCATCAGATAATAAAAGATTTATTTTAGCCGGCCAAACTGAACAGGTCCGAAAAGTTAATGCGTGTCAAAAGTATAAAAACCGTACACATAAAACTTTCCGCCACCTTTTATCTCTAAGTTAACACACCCTTAAATTGTGATAAATATACCTCAACTTCTTCGCAACTGATTTATTTGATCTGCGATTCTGTCTTGGACAGCTGGCGGTTGGAAAAAGTTTCCGGGTTTTATAAGAAATCTTTGGTGAAGCGATTGGGCTGCAACGAAGTTTTAAAGTTGGAAAAAGTTGTGAAAAAAACAAAAGTCCTTCATCTTTTGCTTGGTTGGATTATTTCCTCATGCAATGAGATCATTACTGTTGCTTGCGCATCGTCATTGCAACATTCTTCAAAAGTAATTGTTAAAATAGGTACTCAGATCCCACTGGACTTTAACAAATGTGAATTTATAATTCAAGAATTCAATTTATTCGATGATTTTTGCTTTGTTGAAACATCCTTAAATGGATTTATGATGTCATGTTCTTTCTAGAACCAAATTTAAATGCGCCACTGTAAATTGCCCTGAATGGTCAGTTTTAGAGCCTCCAACTGGTTGCTACAGAAAATACTCTTTGGATGATTGTTGCTACATACGAGAAATGTGCCGTAAGTATAATTGAAAATGCTGTTAATTTTTTGCAGTCGAAAAAGGTTCAAACGAAAAGTTGATGAATTCATTTAAAAAATGTTGGCTTATTTTAAGCGTGGTTTCAGCAGGTACGATCTTTAAGCGACAATTTTAAACTTATTAAACAAATGTCTTTTAGAAAACTGAATTAAAGAAGCATTAATTGAATCGATTTCAATCCAACTAATAAAATACACATGTAAAAAAAATACGTCTGAGAGCCGAACGAAGCTCGAAAAAATTTCAGGAACTAGAATTGTATTTTGTGCAGTTTACTAATTGAATATTAATTATTCGGTTCAAATTGATAATTTGAACTTACCTAATTAATTAATTAATTTAGCTCCCTATGAAAATTCGACCACTTGTGTCTACGATGGAAAAGTGTACAAAGAAGGCGAAAATTTCCTGCCGAAAAATTCCTGCTGGAGATGCGTATGCCAAGCCGGGTTTCGAGGTATAAATTACTACCTGCTTATGCAATTTAATTAAAACTAACGGTCCTGTATAATTCGCTTTCAGGCAAATTAGAAAAACCCTTCTGCCGAAGACGATCCTGTGGAGTTCAGGTGAAACATCAGGAAAAACTGCAAGAGAGATGCGCTCCTTTGTATTACAAAAGGATCTATCGGGAAAGCGACCCACTTTGCTGTCCAGTCAATTGGATTTGTAGTAAATTTGTTATTTTTTATAATTTTTTATGGCTTGATGGCCTGTGAATTTTGAAAATCATCAGTTATTGGAATATTCCAGCAGATAATAATTAACATTCCTACACTGTAATAACATAGTTCTTTATGCGATTTAATTTTTTTTAGGCGAAGGAAATGAGAAAATAAGTGGCCAAGCACAGTCCACAGGTGAGTCGATCTTTTTTAATTGTATGCTACATTTTTTAGATATTTTATTAGCTTCTGGCAATTATGTGTGTTGCATCATACATCTGCAAGAAACCGGATTGCATTGTTTAAAAATTCAAAACATAAATAAATAGTCTGTAATCACGTACATCACGACATCAATGTTTTTGTTGTTTGAGYAGATTTAATTGCATATTTTCTGAGGTTTCATGTGGAATAGCTGGATTGAAAMTTGAAGCTTGTAACTTATTTTCCGCAATTTTTTAGCACAAAAACATCGAYGAATTAGTTAATTTGTGTGATTGATATTCGTATATGGATCCATAAAAGAATGCCTTTATTTTACAGATAAAATGTGCCTATTCGGACAAAGACTGATACGGGTTGGGCAAAAATTCGAAAAAACCGTGCAAATGCCCAGGAACATGACTGTTACGTGCGAATGCAAAATTCCACCGTTATTAACCTGCACAACTTATGTGGTTTAATTGCTACTGGGTATCTGTGATGCATTTTACGCAGGTAAGTAAACCCCATATATGATAACAAAATAACCCTTAAACAGTGCTTAAACAGACGAAAACTCGTTTTTCTGATGAAATAAAGATGTGTTTTTTCCTTCATATAAACCAGATGCTAATTCGCATGGGTGGGCATCTATAAATGCGAATAGTCAAATTAATAAAATATACTTTATTCTTCCAATATACAAATTATTCAACAATATGTAGAATGTACAGGACGTTTTGTACACAGTTGCAAAACCTCATTATGTACAACAGCTTTACTTCACTAAATTGGTTTAATAAATATTCTACAGCTACGGTTAATTTACAGAAACGAGGCACTGAGTGATGAGATTTTTTAGATACTATTGTAAAGTACGGTTTATCTCTCTCAATATTTTATTTTTTAGCAAAAACTCTCTGATACTATCTACCTTGCTTCAAAAAAAAAATTCTGACTTAAAACCATTAAAATTGCCTTGGTGTTCGAACAAAACGTTGAAAAACACAAAGTTTTCGCACATTTGAAGCTTTTGTGCATTTATTAGGTGGAATGAATTGAATAGTCTAAGTTGACCAGAAGACCATTTAGAAGCACTTGGAATTATTCCATTCTCAAATTCTTAATTTTACATCATTCAACACAACAAAATGCAATCAATTTTTAGGTTTGTCCTTTTCGGAAAAGTTTGGGAGCAAAATACTAAAACCCGCAAAACACACGGTGTGACAAAAAGATAGGGAGTCAGTTAAACAGTGAATTCCTTAGAAGAAAATAGTATTTTTTTTACATAACGTTATAATATAATAATATTTTTTCTTATATATGGTTTTGCACGACGAAATCTCTTTTGAAAGTTCTCGGATGTTAAAAAATGAATTTTTTATCCACCAATCATGATCACCAAGATAATGCGTTATTAACAATAAGGAAGATGCTCAAAATATTGGCTTTCGGATCCAATTCATTTTTCAATGAGTGTCTTCATAGATTTCCTATTAGTTACTTAGATGTTTTTGGCACTCTGCTTGTTGAAAAAATCATGTTTTTTGCTAAGGAACCTTGCATTTTTAAAATACAAAATCATAGTATAAGTGCAATATTCGGAGATAAAAACGAAACGTACAGAATTTTAAAAATCAGATAGTCATAATCCTCCCTGATTTTTGCTGCGCTTCTAATAGTTTTAGGTCACTGAGGTTTAGCTGAATTTTACTACAGAAATTACGCACTTTTACTTATTTTAAAGAGAATCTCGATGGTGAAAAGGAAACCAGGTTAACATTTTTCTATAGAACCACCTAAGTTTAATTAAACTGATTTCGCTCCGATACTTGGGGATTTTTCAACCATAAAAGAGATAACACGGCAAACAGCATCAATAAAAAAAATTATACCTGACAAGTTATATTACATTTTGTACTAACTTCACACCAAACTACTAGCTCCCAGACACTCTCCCTCAATCTGTCCGCATAAACTCGGAGAGTTTCCTTTCGAACTTCCATAAACTTTCGTCGAATAACCCGAATCGTTGTTGGTGTCTCGATCCACCGTATCATGGGGGTTCTCCAGAACCCGTCCGCCAAAATTTGGATCCAGCATTCTGGAAGAACCCTCAATGGGGTTTTTTGAGTCTGGATATCCCTTCGAATTATCCAAAACTCGCAATTTTGCCAATCGGGCGTTGATCGTGTGATCGTAGTACTTGGTGGGGTTCGGCAGCTCGTCTTCGTAGAAATGCGCTTGATATGTGGGGTCATTGTAGCGCATTTCCGGCTGGTAAGGGTTCATGGGGTCGTATCTACTGGTGCTGGGTTGTGGATACTGTTTGTACTGGTCGTTGTATCTGCAAATATAAATTATTTATGTTTTATGTAAAAAATCGACTTGGAAGTTGTTTCCTTAAGAGTAGCGAATTTTTAGGATCTAAAGCCGCTTAGGTACACTTACCTCATTGTTACAGGTTCCTGAATTTTCACGATCGGTTCAATATATCTGGTAGAAGTTTCCACCAGGGACGGATCGCCTGTTGGACTGTAAACTCCACTTCGACTTCTAGGCGGGGCATCATTAGGCACATTTTCGTAGTGTCCTAAATGTATTGGTCCTGGCGACTGTCCCAATTGCACCTAAATCCCAACAACAGCGTTAGAAATTAAAAAAACCATCACCCTTGTGATGTTGATAATGTTCAAACTAGGCTAATGCAATTTTATGTGATAAGAAGTGTTGTTTGGCTCATTTACAATATTAACGTGAGTAAGTCACACTTAGAATGCGTAAGTTTTGTAACGTTTTTATTTATTTTACTTAAGAAAATGTTTACTATTAAAATCTATTATGTGTACTCCAGATGCTTTTATTCCAGGTTCGGATAATGTTGATTGGACAACGAATACTATTTTTCAGCCACCAAATTTCTCTTTCGTGTCAAAAAAATAGTCCAATCTCTTTCATATTTACATGATGGTTGGTCACAAAAAAAGTTACTCACTGGAACCAAATTTCCATCACCCATTGGTCCTTTCCTGGATGGCATTCGAAGAGGTCCATCTTCATCGTCGCTGCTCTCGCTTTGAGCCCCATCGTTATGACTTGAGTTCTGGTGCTGTTGCTGAATTCTAGCCACAAGCTCTTTTACGGAGGGGCCTTTCGGGTCGCATTCGTGTGGATCTAGTTCATCCATACTTCTGAAAAAAATCCAAAGTTTAGTAGACTTTTTACACAGACTTTTTGTCAAACTAAATACATTTCTTTAACCCCGGAAGAGTAAATCTCAATTTTTTGTCTTATCAAGTTTGATGGAAGGAATCAGGCAAATAATCGGGTGACACCATAAAACCGCATTCGGAACCGTTTCTAGATCACTAAATCGTGCTAATTAATTTTTTCCCTTATTTCAATCATTAATGCAGTTTCGCCGACTCAAAGCAATTACCATTAAATCCGCCGTAAAATCTCGCATAAAAATAGAATTGACAAGAATGTTCCATTACAATACTTCATAAATTTGCTCATTTTCAGGCAGTTCTAAGGATTTCCGAGTTGAAACAAATAGAAGTGTTGCTTTAAATTAACCTGATTGCTGAAGTAGCTGTACCGGTTTAGTGAGTAACGATTGTTAAATAGCGTTACCAAAGGCGCGTAATTGCCTATAAGGTAGTTCATTGTTCATACGCAACATTAACTAAATAAAGTTTGTTTTCGTTCTTGCTTTCTTGTTTGCATGGGTGAATTTTACTCGACAAGGACCAGCTTTCGTGGTTGGCTGAGTTCAATGTTAGTGTTCATGTTTTTGGACATTCTTTAATTGTTTCCTTTTTTTAGGTTTATGAACATACAGTATGAAGAATTTTCCATTGCTATGCGGCCGCTTTTCTCTCTTTTGAAGGTATTTCACATACAGTCACTAATTTATTGAACAATCTGCTGAAGGCAAAGTGCTTTTAATAAAGTTAACAAAACACATTTATCATCTGCTTTTACAACCAAAGCCCCCAATCTGCCGCCATTAAAATTCAGTACACATTTGAGGCACAAATGCCGGAATTTAATCAAAATGAATAATGAAATGTGTTGATTTTTTAAATCACCAGCTCCCGAAATCCTTAGAAATTTTCTGTAAATTCTTTGCAATCAAAAAAATGTACGAAAAAAAATATCGAACAAACTTAACGTTAGATGTTGAATGATGAAAGCCAAACATGAAACCATTTTTATAGCGGATGGTTTCAGTCCTATTTATACCCAGTAAGTGGCAACCGATTTAATGAAAATACTTTTTGCAGTTTTGTGATTCAAATGGGCTTTTAATGAGCAGAGTTTGTGTTTGCGCCGAACAAAAGACATTGATAACATCAAAATAAATTTGCAGTGTTTGCTCTAGTTAATCTAGTTCAATTTATTTACTGTCTGTTCCATTGTAAAAATCCAAATAATTACTGTGCCTATTATGGAAATGTACGTTTTACGCTTTCACGCGATTTGCAACGTGTCAGTGATTTTTGTTGTTGCCCAACTGTAATCGGAAATAAACGGAAATATCAAGTCCTTATAAAAAAGTAACCAGATTATTAAAATTAATTTAGTGGCAATTTTATCCGTTGATTCTACGATGTTTTTCACTCCGATTTCTTACAGTTATACTAAAAAGAGCTACACTAAGAAATTTTGGTTTGAGCTCAAGCTGTGATTTTTTAAGCAGACAACTTTACAACATTCTAATGAATCCTTTATATTGTATGTATTAATGCCTTTCATTGCCTTCACTCTGGCACCATTAACCCAAAACCTGTTCCGCAATGGCAAAAAGTGTCATAGAAATAATTGTATAACTAGATTTTCCCTGTTTACAATGTGCTAATAAATCAATAAATCTATGTCACACTCAGCCTACAGTGTAGACGGAGCAAACTGAATTCTTTCACCCGATAAATTGTCCTAACAAGAAACTATCTCTTTCATAACGAGTTAAGCTACCGGTATTTATCTATTATTATGTACAATTATTCAGAAATCATTATTGTTGGTTTGATCGTAAATCATCAGCTGACTTCTACACTAGCAGATAATCGATTCTGGAACGCAGGTGACTAGTGCCAGTTGACTGTATAATATTTATACATTGGTTGTTTTATAACGTAAAGTATTTCTTATTTGGTATTACATTTACTATCTTTCAAGGCCTGTGTATTTTTTTAAATCATACTCCCGTTCCCCGTTAAAATTCGCGTATAAATCGAAAGCAATTGAAAAGTGAGAACATACCTTGTTCCTTGTAAATGTGACTTTCCTCCTGTATCCAGCATTTCCAAGCTTCTGGAACGGGACATTTGAGGTTCAGGTTCCTTGTGAGCGTTAAGAACTCGTTCAGATCGACGGCCGTGTCCACCTCTATTCAGTTTTTGTTCCAAGCCAGCCACTCTTTGTCCCAATCGAACCTAAACGGACAAAAAAACTTGGTAAGTTATCGAGTTGAAATATTTGTATGAAACTTCCCACAGACGAATTGAATTAATTGAATTTTCTTGAGATACTCCCAAGAATAACATCGTTCAGCCTTTCGTTCAAACTCGTTATTCGAGCAGCTATTTAATTGAATATTGGAAGTATAAGTGCAAAAAATGGTTTACTTTTTTCTTTTGAAAGATTTAGATTTTAACCAGTTGGTGGAAAATCTGCTGATTTTTTCACGAATAATAGAAATAGAAGACAAGGTATTTCAGAAACCCGAACAAGGTCATGTTTATATTATTTTTTATAAAACATCCTGTATATTATTACAGTTCGGATTCTGCGACAGATTCTGATCAGGTTCCATATAGTCAACCTTGTTTACAAGCATTGTTTACGAGTTCCTAACATTTAAAAATCGACTTCTTATTCGAATTCCGCAAATTAATCTTAAAAGTAATTGAAAAAAAAAATTTAACCAAACTAACATTTTTAATTCGAAAAATCTAATTAAAAACAAATTGAGTTTTTACAAGTTCTTCGTTCATGTTTCTCTATTTCAGCTAAAATGATTGATTAAAATTTCCATTTCTGTCATTACTGTTTCCTTAATCCTTTTACCATCGGTTGCTTTTCATGATTGAATTTAACTTTAAAAACCACAAAAAGAAGGAACATTATCTAAAATAATAAGTAAAGTCGACAGTCGATGTTTAACTGTTTCTATCTCTGAAAAAGAGACTTTTCGCACAATACGAATCTCTAATTATATACAGGGTCTTCCATAAAAAATATATAAGTTTGATCTGGAGCGCCTCTTCTGAAAAATCCTGCATTCCTCATATTTTTGTTGGTCATAAAAAACTCGTGCAAAAAAGTCTACAATTTCTTGCAAAACCGGCTCTCCATTCTTCAAAATTAACAAAGTTAAAAGGGCGTTCCTCTTATTATTTATAACATTTATCAAGTAATTTCTGGGAAGTTAAATGATTCCGTTTTTTATTCACTTTTCAATACTTCTTGCATTTATTCAGAAACCTGCAAAGTTACGCATTGGCAAAATCTTGCTTCAAACTTTCATCATTTACTATTTTCATTAGCTTCGCGTCATCGTTCCAAATCACAAAATCGAACAATGAAACTGAAAAAATCCTGCAAACTCTCACCTGAGCTCGGACCAGCTCCTTCTTGTCCTTCGCCAGCTTGGCTTCCAAATGCCTAAACAGAGGGGCACAATAGCAGGTGTATCCAACTCCAACTGGCCCCTTACAGATATTTCCTGCCAAATCTAGATAGTATTGCTCCCCTTTTTTCAGGGGCTCAGGCGGCAAAGAGTCCAGGTTAGGAGATGGAAAAGCTTCCGGATCAGGATAGTAGTGGCAACCATACGGAGACCAGTTTTTGTTATTCGTGCTGGTAGGCGCCGGTTTGCTTGGAGGAGCTTCAGTCACCGATATATCGACCACATCTGAAACTGAAGCAAATCTTTATAATTTTCAATAGGCAAAGACGGCTCGAAACGAACCAATTAAATGGCCACGTATCTGCAACTGATGCCAATAAACCTACACTTTGCAATTAACCGATTAAATAGAGTAGCTGAACATAAAACTTATCTGCGCCTTAAATGTAGCATTCGCGACATCGTTTTCCTTATGCTGTCTGTCAAAAACCGTTGAGCAATCTTACTTAAGATAAGTAGAAGATGGTATTCAAAGAGCCACTTCTCGCTTGCCGAAGAACAAATAAAGATATAACTTTAGGTTGAGCGGTAATGGGCTTGGAGAGCCGTTTGAAGGAATTCACGAAACGACTTGCAGGAAAGGAAAACCTCTGGCCATTAATGAAATAATTATTTTTTCGCTCACTTAGGTATTAGCGGTTAATTAAGAACATTATACGGATATGCGCTCAGAGATGAATGGTTCTCTTAAGGTAGGTTCAAGAAGCTTTAATTGGAGACATTAATCACCACTATAGTTTGAAATTATTGAGATAAACAAAAACTTTGCAATTGGGTTTTTTTCTGCAATGTTTTTTAATTTTCTTCTCCTGAAAACTTGATCCAATTACCCAAGTAATCTTAGCCAAAATCATTACCATTAAGCGAAGACATTTCATGTAAGGTGATCAGAATTTACAGGAAATTACAGTTATAATTTCAATTAAAATCATATATAGAATTAATGGAATTCTCCTTAGCCACCACCAATGGAAAAACGTTCCGATATCATCGGCTCGATTTCGTGTCGTTTATGTATTTTAAGATTATTAATTACAGTTGGAACTTGTAAATCCTCGCAATATAAAACGGGTAATTTAATCTGAGCTGGGTTGTGTTAAATATACGAGGAACATTGCGAACATGTTTCCGCATGGTGTCCTTTAATTGGTTGTATTCACCATGCAAATGTTGCCGTGCAACTTGCGTTTGTATAGTTTGTTCACTGGCATACGCAAGACCTAAGTGAGGTAACATGAGAACGACAGATTGTATATGTACAGTTTAATATTAACAAATTCCTGCTTTTCTATTTGGATAGCGTGCAAAAGTGTATAAAATTGTATTCTTATAACATTCTAAAGGTTTTATTAACTATTAATCCCTAAATTTAGTCCCCGATGTTGCAAGAAATCAGAGGAGCGAGACTAAAAGATTACCACTTTGTAACATGTGTTTCCTTAATTTTGTGGAAAATGTTTTATATAGTATAAAACAGTGTTTAAGTGGAAATTTATTCTCGGACAAATTTGAACTTTTGACACCTTGTTATTTAAGAAATAAAAACTTTTATTTGCGGGCAAATTTAAAAAGCATTTAATTATCATAATGTCAAAAATTGCTATTCTAATAACGCGTAATAAATAAAAGACGGGCCGAAACACTGCGCAATCTTAAAACAATCTTAGAAATTAGATTTTTAATGGTTGAACATTAGGTTTAATCAAACTTGTTAATTTATTAATCATTAAAATGATAATTTTGTGACCTACAGGTGTCAGCACTGAAGCCTCAAGTATTTAATTGCAAAACTTAAAACCATATACAATAGTAAACGACATCCGTATGGTAATAAAGCAAGAATCTTCAAATTTAGTGCTGGTTTATTTGAAAAATCATGTTTTAGATATGCAAAAATGACAATTAAATTGTATTAATCTAATAAATCTGCACCTACCGAAACCGCAAATATCTAAATTGTTTCTGGTACGACAAAAAAATGGAATCTGATGAATCTGACTCCCAAGGAATACTTATTTAATAAATTGTCCAAATTGCAAAATCCGTTAGTGGTTGATGATGTTCTCAATAAAAGTGTTAAACTATTTTGTTTCGAGAACCATTAATTTATTCTCAAAGTTTGATTTGTTACATTTTATCACGCTTTCTTCAAACACTCCTCTTACCGTCTCCCAAAAGCAAAAATAGGTTCGGGTTCAAAAGAAATATTTAACATTCATTAATCATCAAGGCACTGTAATTTCTTAACTAAAACCATCGTCTCTCCCTTACTTACATCGTCAAAGATAGGCATTATTGCGTCCTGAAAGTGTTTGTACCTAAGATCCCAATCGTTTCATTGTTCCATTCATTTCTTAATGACTAGTTCGGTTTAATCGCAAATATAAATCCCCAGTCATTTCAAAAGCAAACCCAAATATTTCAATTGAGAATGAGAATAATAAGCTCAGTCGAAAAGATTAATTCCCTGGGTAATCTTGCATTTGAACGTGAATCGTCGGTGGTTGAATGTTTTCACGGTACTCATGCTGCGTTCAACCCGTCTTTCAGTTCCTTTGGTACTCAGTGCGTTCTGATTATTATTTATTATTGAGCAGCTGAACCGTAAATTCGTTTGATATCCGATCTCAAACGCGGATAAGTTGTTTTGCTTTGACACTCGAACAAATTCGATTCAGATGAATTGTTTTGAATCCGACCCGTTCAAGGTGTTTTCTTAATGAGGGATGATCGGTCTTTTACACAACATCTGTTAATCACTGTTTAATTGATCATTTGCTTCGTATTGAATCGACGAGATGTTCGTTACGTTCTTATTGTTTAACTACACAAAATCATAATATGCAAAAACATTCATTATTCCAAATTTGGAATGATAGATTTTTTCTAAGGCATTGTGGATCATGCAACTTTGAACAAAAATAATGCAATAAAACACAAAAAACCTCAGACATAAACCCAAGCACCGTGTCACTGATCGCTAATATTTACGAAAAAGTTAAGAAAATATTTTCGAAACGTTCATGGGAATCTAAACTATTAAGGTCCCAGGAATAAACTCATAAGCAATTTTATGTTGGAGATTTTCTGTTTGGACAGCGATTATTCCATCGACATTTGATATATAAAATCCATTTTATTACCGTTTTAACTTTTCATTGACCATTAAACTGATTCATGGAGTTTCCCAAGCAACTGCACGATTTAGTGGAAAGCTTAGGACCGAATCACACATTACAAATCGTTAAGTGCTGATTTAATTTTAGGAATATCAAAATTACCGTCATAATTGTTATTGATTATTCTATTTAATTTTGGATCTAATTTCTATAAAGAACTGAACTGTTTCAATATCGATTTCTCAAAGCTTTTGGACATTCATAAAACGAAAACCTGCGCAAAAAATAATCGAACAACATTGTAGCCAACAGTTACATAAGTTCAAATATGCAAATTATCGCTATACAAATATTTCCTGCCTCGTTCAAAGTGTGTTTTGAAATAGCAAAGTGAAAACAAGGCAATTGTTTCCAATGGCCTGGCCGAAAAACTTGCAATAATTGTGATTAACTTCAAAAGCGGAGCAATTGAGGGGAACAGAAAATATTCGATTTCTCATCTTAAATCAAATTTGATGTTCCAGCCTGGCAAAAACAGCACTAATTTTATGTACCCTTTCCAGGAAACCCTTAAACGCGTCATGCATTACCCAAACTAATTATAATTCCATGAACTGCCATTTGAGGTAAACAGGCGAAATGTATGCTTAAACTTTTACCGCCTGATTTTCCCAACAACAAATAATTTGGCTTGCCTAAAAGTTATTATTTCTGCACAATTAATTGCTCGTAATATTATAAGTAATAAATTCGAGCCGGTATAAACTTGGGTGAAGCTTCGCGTAAGCATGTAATTAAACGGAAAAACGTGTTATTCAGATGCGTTATTGATGGAACAACATATATTAACAAAAGTAAATAGTCGAATAAATTGGAAGCAATTTTTGATAATACAATCAGATTATAAAAAATATATACAGATAATGCGAACATTAATAGAATTGTTTGGCCTTCGGCTCTATTTATTTTATTTCAAATGAGTTGTTTGGTTGACTATCCCAATAGTTTGCAGCAGAAAATTTATTATGGGAAATTTTCGGCTGGTTTTTGCTTTTCCTTTAGTTATAGGTGTTTACATCATTTTGCTTGGTTTAGAATCGCAACAAACGTACTTTATTAAATGCAGTGAAACTAATTGATTAAGACGCAAATGGTGAAATTGATAAATATTCCAAAGAAATCGAGAAAAATCACAATTTTTTAGTAGATGATTTTGAGCAACTTGTCTTCAACGCATAACTATTCACATTCACATGCCATATTCTTATCAGTTGAAACTCTCATTTTAAAAGTATTATGGATTAAGCAAAACTCCTACATTTCAAAAAGAAAAAAACATCGGGAAAATGATTATTAAACTGCCTTTGGAAATAGCTTCTGCGACAAATACGCCATTCAATCTGCATGAGGTGATTTAGTATTTTTATCAATATTTTATTTCCAGCTGAAGTATAGGTATAATAAAAAAATATTTTATTCGTTTTGGGCTCACACTTGCCATCATATTAGTGGCAATTAAAATACCTTATCGTTAAGACGATGTAATTCTAAGCAAATATATCCGACATTCCAACAGTTTAAAGCAACGTTTCAATTTACTGTTACCGAATACTCCCACGTAAATGATCTTCAATTTTCATATAAACGACCCGCGGAGGTACTTTAGATAATTCACCAAATATTAAATGGATTTTTCACCTCCATATTACAGTTCGCTTACATGTTCTATTATGCAAATGATCACCTCATGCGTGTATAGCGTTGGACCATTAGTAACAACACACTTGACATCAAAAGCTTACCTTTGACGCCTTTTCCTTCGAAACGAACTTTACTTTTCGACCGTCTCTTGCTCGTTTTCTCCTTCCTGCTTCTCCGACTTTCACGCGAATTGTTCTCATCGAGAATATCGACAATGTCGCCCAAATCTTTTCTGAGCGCAATGTCTCGTGCAGTTTCGGCCTGTTTGTTTCTGATCGACTTGTCGCAACCAGCTTCCAGTAGAATTCTTGTTAGTTTTCGTCTACCCATTGCGGCCGCTATATGAATGGCTGAGTCGCCGTTTTTGTTTCTTTCGGACACTTTGCACTGAAAGGAAAAACAGCAAATATTGTTCATCAAAAGAAATGCCAGTGTGGAGTTCAGTTAGCTTCTCAGTAAAGGAAGAGACAAAGAACGCTGAATATTTTTTTCTCAAGGGATTCGATTTTTTTTAATAACAAATCTTCACTGACTCCATATAGAGAAAATCAAAATACCTTTGCAGAAATCAATATCCTGGTAACTCCAGCATGCCCATATCGAGCAGCAGTGTGTAAAGCGGTATCTCCATATCCATTCCGCAGGTCAGGATCGGCCCCTGCCAGCAAAAGTTCCCGACAGGACTGGTTATGGCCATTTTGGCACGCCAAGTGCAGGGGCGCAAATCCTCCCGCATTAGTTGCAGTCAGAGGCGCTCCTGCGGAGCAAAGAAGTCGCACAGTACGACTGTGCCCCTTCCAAGAGCACTCGTGTAAGGCGGTGTTGGCATGCTGAAACAATTACAATTTACAGTCATTACAAGTTACAGTAGAGTCTCGGAAGTGATTCATTTAAAATTCAGCAGTTCTGCTCGACATGAAAATGAACAAGTTGACGTTTTGCTTTCTTTGCAGGAAAATTCATGTCCCCGTTTTTCGCAGATTGGGGCCAATTTACACATGCAGAATATTCATTTGTTGTTCATCGAATAGTTCCAACGCTGAAATATCATCCCTACAAGGTGCAAGAGTTATTTGAAGATGATTTCCAGGCGCGAAATGACATTGCAAAAACATGCAAAATATGTACATCTTAGATAATAATTTAGAAAAAACGTTATTTTTTACACACAAATAAATGTGGGGTGTGGAATAGTGCGCGGAAGAATAATAGGACCGTTTTTCTTTGAACAGTCTGTGACTGGACAAGTATAGATATAATTTTTCCAACTTGAATGAATTCCAGCATTGGTTTCTTTAATTCCAAATTTATTGGAGCCATCAGATTCTGTTGATGAGAAACTGATTTTCCATCAAGCTGGTGCTCCTCCACACTATGCTGTTACTGAGCGTAAATTTTTGGATGAAACCTTTACCCAAGGGCGGATCCAGGAGGGGGGTCATGGGGGTCATAACGCCCCCCATTAAATTCTCTATCCAACGATGCCAAAACGAATTCTCTGGCTCGAATGGTTCTTGAGAAACTTTGAAAAAAGCAGCGTCATGTTCAAGTGGATTTTGCAACTCAAAAAAAAACCACGCAAATCTAAAACTTCTTGAATTCAATCATTTTTTGAGAAAACTGCCAACATTTGCTTATCGATGGTTCACTTTCTAAAAAGGGCATTTATTTCTGTCTGGAATGATGTACAAATGAGCGTTCTTGCTCATTTTGCCTCCGAAATATGAGCAAAAAAGGGACGGAAAACATGGAATTTTGGCATAATCTTGCACCTAAGTGTCTGATATTCAAATTGCGTTTTATGGGTCAAAACTACTCGAATTTCCTCATTAACGTTGTTACGACTGAATCGACTTTTCAATTCTCTATACAACGATGCCAAAACTAATTCTGTGGCTCGAATGGTTCTTGAGAAACTTCGAAAAAAGCAGCGTCATGGTCAAGTGGATTTTGCAACTCAAAAAAAACGACGCAAATCTAAAACTTCTTGAATTCAAGCATTTTCTGAGAAAACTGCCAATATTTTCTTATCCATGGTCCACTTTCTAAAAAGGCCATTTATTTCTCTCTAGAATGATGTACAAATGAGCGTTCTTGCTCATTTTGCCTCCGAGAAATGAGCAA